ATATATATATATATATATATATATATATATATATATATATATATATATAGGCATATATATGCATATATACATATATATATATATATATATATATATATATATATATATATATAGAATTAGGTTTCGTTGTTTACAAAAACATTTGGCAGAGTGCTCAATGGATATCCAGAGCATAATTAAATAAGTGCAACGACTCAACAAATTCCACCAGGCATCTTTATTACTATTAGTTTCGTACCACAAGATGTGGCACTCATCAGATAAATTAGCCTTATGACTACAACAAAAAACCTACAGTATTTATGTACAAGTGGATGAAAGCTTTAAATTAATCCTATTTACAAAGCACGCAAAGCAATTATTTTGTTACTTGATAAAATTGACAGGACGCGGAAGTATTAACAACGCATAACATAACAATCAGTGGACGGTTCCGGCAATTCTAAAATCGAGAAAATTCTGAAAGTTGAAAGTTAAATTTGCAGCAAATCTATCTTTCGACTCACATATTTCTTATCGATAACACAAAATTCCATATCCTTTTCGATGTCATAAATTATTTTTGAAAAATGTCTAAAAGCCCTACCTTATTTCTCATAAAAGGGTACCCTTTTTTGAGATTTGTGTGATAAGGGAATTGGTTCGTTTTAATTACCCTTTTACGTCGATCCAAGTTTCAACTTAAAAGCGAAAAAGCGGATTATCTAACGAATTTATACAAATCAAATCTCCATAAAAATAACTGAAAAGGGTACGATTATCGCTCAACTGCATCGTTTTGTAAAATGACGAAAAAGGGTACCCTTTTCGGTCAACCATGTTGTTTTGTACTAAGACGAAACAGAGTACCCTTTTCGGTCAACTATGTTCTTTACATAGTAATATGAAAAAGGGTACCCTTTTCTGTGAAATATGATCTGTTATAATAAGACGAAAAAGGGTACCCTTTTTTATTTAATCTGTTGATACTCAACCGGATTAAAAATGGTCTGGAATTTTATCAACTGCGTTTTCGCGTTAACGCACGTTAAAGCATAGCGTTTAATTTAAGTGTATACCAATTCAAAAAGCAGTATAATTTATTCGCTTATTGTTAAATCAAAATGGCGGAGTACTTGGAGCAAAATATCGAAGATGTGAAAAACTATGTTCAAAAGAATTATACTTATCGGCAGATCAGCGACATTTTCAAGCAGCATTTTTCTGGGGTTAGTCGAGGTTTCTCGGTATTGTGTGCTGTAACTGATTACTTTAAATAGATATCGATATGCCATATATACGTATAGCGTTGGGTAATATTGTGAAGGCAAAACAGTTTAACATTCATAATTAATTGAAATTGAGAAGGATAAAAGTAACTAGTATTAATAGTTACCTTTGATGCCTCACGAATGTGGGACATCAAACTATTGCCAGAGTGCTCAAACTGCAAGCAGTGAGCGTGTGATAATCAGTTACAGCACACAATATACCTCACTGATAGACTGTTTAATGATGTCCACTTCAAAATTGTCCAGTTTCCTTATTCCACGTTTTGAACAGAATAACCGAATGTTTCTCTCCGAGAAACTTCGACTAACCCCAGGAAAATGCTGCTTGAAAATGTCGCTGATCTGCCGATAAGTATAATTCTTTTGAACATAGTTTTTAACATTTTCGATATTTTGCTCCAAGTACTCCGCCATTTTGATTTAACAATAAGAGAATAAATTATACTGCTTTTTGAATTGGTATACACTTAAATTAAACGCTATGCTTTAACGTGCGTTAACGCGAAAACGCAGTTGATAAAATTCCAGACCATTTTTAATCCGATTGAGTATCAACAGATTAAATAAAAAAGGGTACCCTTTTTCGTCTTATTATAACAGATCATATTTCACAGAAAAGGGTACCCTTTTTCATATTACTATGTAAAGAACATAGTTGACCGAAAAGGGTACTCTGTTTCGTCTTAGTACAAAACAACATGGTTGACAGAAAAGGGTACCCTTTTTCGTCATTTTACAAAACGATGCAGTTGAGCGATAATCGTACCCTTTTCAGTTATTTTTATGGAGATTTGATTTGTATAAATTCGTTAGATAATCCGCTTTTTCGCTTTAAGTTGAAACTTGGATCGACGTAAAAGGGTAATTAAAACGAACCAATTCCCTTATCACACAAATCTCAAAAAAGGGTACCCTTTTATGAGAAATAAGGTAGGGCTTTTAGACATTTTTCAAAAATAATTTATGACATCGAAAAGGATATGGAATTTTGTGTTATCGATAAGAAATATGTGAGTCGAAAGATAGATTTGCTGCAAATTTAACTTTCAACTTTCAGAATTTTCTCGATTTTAGAATTGCCGGAACCGTCCACTGATTAGGTCTATCACAGGATCATTGACAAACCTTTGCAAGCTTTAAGTTTCAGGGAGAATTCTTCAATGTCCGCAAGAGGTTGGGCACGACCGTCCAGCAAAGAATTTGTCTTTGGAAATAACTTATCCTCCATACACGCGCCCGCGATGCCCCTCTGTTCCAGCTTAGTTACCAGTCTCCTGGCGTTATTGAAATTCCCGTATCCTGTGTCAGCATCAAGTAAAATAGGGACATCTGTCACGTCACTCATGAACTCCAGCACATCAACAACCTGCGTCCACGAAGCCTCGTTGCTGTCACGAACACCAAGTTGGGCGGAAATTGACAAACCACTTCCCCAGATACCCTTGAATCCTGAAAACGAAATACATCATAAATACGTTTAATGACCTGTTCAACAATTCAGAATGGTTAAATCGAATTTTCCAGCAAAAACTACAGTATATAGGTATTACAATTAATTAGCCATATCCCAAGAGGACTGGGTCTAGTTGATGTTTGGAGGGACATTTGGAGGGACAACAAGTTATAGTGAGTGCATGAGCTAAATATATATTAAAAGATGCCTTATTATAATTTTTGCGTTTCAGGCTGCACAAATAACTTTAGGAATGTAGGAAAACGTCCTAGATGCCATATTCGGCATATTGTTTATTTTTTGTCCCTCCAAACAAGCGACTAGACCCAGTCCTCTGCTCCATCTTCAGGTTAAAAAGGTATTATGATATATGATATGGCAGTCTCTAAATTGTTCTCACAAAAAAGTTTTTATACCAATATATCATACTTTTTTAAGATAGAGTAAGGTTATACTCTGAAACATTGTAATTAATAAAATGATTATTTGCTAAGCCTGTGGTCTGATTAGCTGAAACCAATCAGATGTGTTTGATATATCTGATATTATTTAACCAATCAGATGTGTTTGATATATCCGATTAACCAATCAGATGCATACTAAGCCAGTGAGAGATAGCGGAAGTCAAATCTGAACCTGTCTAATGCCATTGGAAGAGATTTTTAACGTCATGCGTAGAAATTACAACTTATCATACCTGCTTCCTGAACGATCTTGGCACTCAGACCATTGTGAGCTTCCATAATAAACTCCAGTTCAGGAGATTCTAACATACGTCTTAACTGTGTTGTTTTCTACAAGACAAAATTGGTATGCAAATCCAATTCTTTGGGGGGAATTGCCCACCCAATTATATAGTTTAAAAAGGCTATGGTCAATATATCTGTCATTTTTGGGGTACTGCATCTTTCCAACGTCAGAGAATATAAACAATCAAAGCAACGTGAAAAGCGTTGTTGTCAAATTATATGCACAAGTCACATTTCGCGGTGTATACTCTCTCATGCAGAATTGGCATAGCTGAATACCCCCAAAACAGCGGATAAACTGAGTGTGATGAAGGTTGATTGTTGCATATTTTTGGGAAACCCTGTAGTCTCTGTGACCAACAGTAGAAATGTCTTCTTAATCCTTACCCTTTCCTTTGGTGCATTGTTGGAGAGTAAACGTGAAGGAGCTGCTAGAAAAATATAATAATAGTGCTTACCTATAATTTTGAATTTGCTATTATATCAAATTTTATGCATATAAATAATAATGCAACAATAGTTTTAAGAACATGTACAAGCATGCATCAAGCATGTTACATGTAGGTATCCAGAATTCAGTACAATTCTCAAAACATGGTCTGACAATATATATAAGACCAATCCATGTTTTGTCAGACATGATCGGGACATTAATAATTTAATACTGGACTCAAAATAGAGACGTTGCACAGTAATTATTGTTGTAATTATTATTAGTAATGTAATTATTTCAGTAACATACGACATTTGAATAGAAATTTAATATAATGTTGCAATTCAGACTTTGGTCAATAAAACTGCCGCTCCAAATTCTCCCCAATTCACCATCTGCTCGAGTGCTCGTACATATACAAAATAAGCAAACTGTCATTCTAAATGCGTCTTCTTTTCAAACTTTTCAATGAAAATCAATTTACCCCATCAAATGGCAGCACTCTCTCCTTGACCAGTAAAATTGTAAAGTAGGGTGCATCAGGGCGCATTGCCACAATGTGTAAACACATCTTTATAGTATACATCTTGTTCCTGAGCCTGCAGTTTTAGCAGAGGGCCAACGAACAGTCGAACACACAACAAATTCATCCTGACTTACCAGGCTGTCTCATTAAATTGGACCAGCACACTTCCATATAAACAGTCCCTAAGGCACCACATCCACATTCAAGTTGCCACACAAAATGTCAAATTGACATTATTATCTAAACTCACCCCACGGCCCACACTGGTTGGTTTTGAAAGTGTGCCATATCTAATAGTAAGATTTTCTTTAAAATATTCATTTTGCCACGGGGAAATTCGTGAACACGACACAGAATAATCATCTTGACCCACCTACCAACTGTTAACGTCAATTTGACGTTTTGCATGGCAACTTGACAATACGAATGCATATGCACGAATTTATCACATAGGTATTGCAATAAATACGTGATTTTCAGAATATACCACTGCTTCGTACATGTGCTGTTATATTGGAAGGTATTGTTTACAAGTGAACAATACAGTACAAATCCTCTACTATTTTTAAAATGTTTTATATTTTATATATAGGTGTTGAAATAACTATGTATTAAATTTTAACTTGCCTTGCATATTGTAGCAATTGTGCAAGAATTTAATGTCGGAATGTATTGTTTACAAAAGGATGTTCTATAGACTACAGGATATCGTAGGGTACATACTTTAATGTATCTATTATCTAGCTATGTAGTACGTGTATTCCAAACGCACCTCATATAAATCTCAACAAAAGCAAAACAAAATAAAGCGTTACCTCCTGAAATGGGCAAAATAATTTGCCTGTTTTGCTGCAAAACACTGCGTAAAGACCTCGCCAACATAATTCACGACTGGCTTGCTTTACTTAAAAATACGCGAGATAGAATTCAGCGCTGCCAACGTGTAGCGCGAAGCAAACAAAAGACCGGAATGAGGTTGACAAAAGACCAACCACGTTCTCCCTCGTTCCACGAGGTTGGCCACGAAGTTGGACAAAAGACTTGATGAGGAAAATTATCAAAGGATCAGTGTTTCCACATGGTTATGTCATATTTCTAAGCATGGTTCCCAAGTAAATTTCGGTTGTACCCTATTTCGCCTCGCAAAGCAATCTCGTTCCCCGAGCCTGCGATCCTCGGGAAGGAACGCGAGGCTCTGGGATAATCCGTTTCAGGGAGGAATCTGATTGGCCGTTGAAATAGAATGCGTAGTTCGATCTTAGCCAGAATTCCTGGCTTCCGGCAACGGATTATCCCAGAGCCTCGCGTTCCTTCCCGAGGATCGCAGGCTCAGGGAACGAGATTGCTCGCAAAGAGCCTCTGGAACCAGGGTATCGGCCATGGGGTTTTGGGTATATACAAGATCTAATGAGTATTTAATTTGAGTATACTGTATATTTACTTCAATGTTATGACTAATTTTGCGGGATATTAGGTATAAAGTCTTCTGGCAGTTTTACTGGTATTTTGTAAACATTTTGACCGTATTAATAGGTATTTTGATCCATATTTATCAGGTATTTAGGGTACCACGGACCCCCCTGGCTGGCCCCTAAACTTGTAACGGGTATATTCCATTCGTTGCTATACATTTCCCTATATACAAAATTGGCATATATACTCCTTATGATAAATTCCATGTTAAATCATGTTGCGCTTGTAGCTAAAATTCAGAAAAGCAGTTTGCCGTTCAAGATTCAAATATATTACACGGCACAGACAATATATATATATATATATATATGCGTTAGTCATGCAAGCTAACTTTTAGAGATGAATTTTAGCAGGGAAACTAATTTGAAATCCAGTTGGTGAGACCATCAATCTGGCAAGTTCTACACTAAAAAAGTCGATCAAGACGACGTTTTTTCAACCCGGCATCTGGTACGTAATACGTATTACGCATGTTAAAAATGGCGTAAGTAGTACTTGAAATTTGAAAAACTTGTGAGTAATATAGGTATTTACAATGAAGTACTTGACAGTTTGAGCACAATTCTCTGTTATCATTTTTGTGTCGCTGTCCACGGAACTTGCGTGCGCATGTATAGTTCATATTGGTGTGCGTGCTTGTGATCTCGTAGTCTGTTGGAGCGGGTAAAACCTCGACCACAGATGTCACAAACATGAGGTTTGACGTCACGATGAATATGCAGGTGCTGTTTCAGGTTGCCTTGATTGCTAAAACATCGACCACAAACATTACATCGAAACGGTTTTTCGCCTGTATGTGTTCTTATGTGGTTTTCGTAAGTACTGCGACATGCGAAGAATTTCTTGCAATAAAAGCATTGCAATCTTAGCGGGGATTCTTCGACCTAGAAAGTAAACAACAGTGTAAGAGACCGTTCATTCTTTATACCCTGGGGTGGGAGATTATTATATCATATAGCCCCCCCCCCCCTCAGACAGATAGGCAAATCCACTTTCCTATTTTACCTTTTCAGGACCTTCAAATTTGTACACAACTATACTTTCTTCATGAACGTACATTATTCTTCTATTGATCTTAGAAGAAAATATTTTTTCTATAATTATGAGATTACCGGCGAACTTGGTGGATTTTGGCTTGATTTTCCAGTACTTGGAGAAGTGCTATCTGCGGGAGAAACAAAGATTTTCAACCAATACATATATATATTATCCAGTACTACCTACACTGGAATTCCACATTTCAATGCAATTTTATAGTTGTGCATTTAATTAAATGCCGCAAAACCCTACTGTTACATGATGAGCAATATCATGTAATTTTGCATATATTAAATATTATTATATATAACTATTATACTATATAGCTTATTCTTATTCATATTATAGCTTACATGCATGAGTAAGCAAATAGTTCTAAACGGATTAAAGAAAACGCCTTGTCCACAAATAACGTCAACGCACATGAATGTGATCAGAGAACTTTCTACCAACGACCACAACATTGCGTATAGGAAATGCGTCAAGATGGCAAAATCATCCTCTGACTAACTGTATAAAAAGCTTCACGCATCAGTGAACATTAGCATCAGTGAAGAAAGAGGAACGAGACTCGACTCTCAAGAAGACTCCATGGCTGAAGACGAAGCTGCTTTGAAGCGCTGATATATAACGAGTAGAAAGAAGACAACATGCTGGATACGCTTGAACTGTTGAACCATGCTATCAAGTTGCAATGCCCACTCGGACAGATAAGTTTAACATATAGTCTAATTAACCATATTATCATATAGCTTAATATAACAAATGCTTTTATATATATATATATATATTTAACAATTATTCGCCGAAGGCGAGGTGATTATCGGTGAATAAAAACCGAGACGAAGTCGAGGTTTTTATTCACGATAATCACCAAGCCTGAGGTGAATAATTGTTTTAGTATAATTTCATAGGTGATTATTTGGAAAAAAAAAAAAATACACATTTCTTCGTCATTTAATTGACAAAAAAGGCTTCGGCCGCCATTTTGAAAATCGCTTAGGTGATTATCGCGTAATAATCACCTCAACGGCAACCAATCAGCGTGGAGAATTTTCAATAATCACCTATGTAATTATACTAAATATATATATATATATATCAGAAGGTAAAATGCTTAGATTTACATTCTTCTGTTGCGAGTAAACAGAAAGCGCGGACAAATAAAATAGTGAGGACCAGCTCGTAACCCTACCACCACTTACCATGTAAGATGTCATATTCTCGCTCAGTTAAAACAGTCTGGTCTTGTGTTATAATACAAGTCAAAGCAGAAGAATTTTGCCGTTGCCTCAAGCCAATAATTTGATCATGTCCGCCAATCGATTCGTACAACATTTTTGTCAAGCCAAAAGTTGTTCCCTGTTGCACACTTAGAACAGGAGTGTCAGAGTGGTACAGCACAACCTACAGGAAATTCAAACGATTTTTAAAACACAACTCAGGATTCAGACGAAAAAGTGATTCTATAAAACTTTCTTTATAGAAATTTGAATCAAAAGTGCAATTTTTATAACTGGAAACACGGATTGCGAGAGCTGGCCAAAATGTACAATGGGGTGGGGTGGAGGATGAGGCGAAAGAGTAAAGTATTCCGGTCCGGCAATAGTACTGAAAACCCACGGAGGAATGTTTTAATAGGGTGTCGGATCGTTTTGTCAGAATTGTAGTTAATTTAAAGGCCAGTTAGATTGCATTATACTACATATTTAATGAGAAGATGTAATAATGGTTTGTAAATGTTGAAATATAAAAATCCAAAAATACAGAAAATAGACATTTTAAGACTCCCCATTTTAAGAGGCCAGAGTAAAAAGCGGTCATTTGTCGTCAATAGTCATTTTGTTCTCGATTTTCATCCCCAAATGGCAAAATATGTACAAGACCCTGGCTATGCCAACCGTCACTCTGAGGATATTTTGTTTGCCAACATTGTCCAAAGGTCACTGCCTGATTGATTGTCTATATAGAATGAGAAAACTAAAGACATTCATGAACATAGAGCCAAGTGGCTATTATGGCTATAGGCGTGTCAAACATAATATTCAAATTTGTGCCTGCTTTGTTAAATATATTAGAAATGTCTAGATAACAATGCAATTATATGACAGTTCTGGTTGCCTATTTAGTCAAATATTTGACATGCCTAGTCATTGGGTTCGCCAGCGCTCTCCCATTGACGAGTAAAATCGTCTGGCGTTAGACAGAGTAAAGTAGTCTGGCGTTAGACAGAGTGCACTTAGACATTTAGTGCTTTATCTGTAAAATAACCCTGAAATGACGAGATTTTAGCTGGTAGGCCATAGAGAAAATGACGTCTGAAGTTCACAGTAAATTTTGCTTATATTGCTGTATAAATATGGCGTCAATTTTACAGAATTAATGATAATTGTATTTAAATTAACAATATTTAACTATTATTTTATGTTTCTCAACCAACAGATACATTTAAAAAAGGTTGCTAACTTTGTAAAGTACAGAATAAAGCTAAAACAAAGTAATTTCGAGGGGAACGAATTTCATTGCGACATTGAAAAAAAATTGCCTCTTAAACATAGTTTAAAGTTGTGAACAGCAATTATATATTTGCAGACAATTTGATATTTAAATTGTCTTTTTTTAATTCAAATAATCATATTTTTGTCGACACGAGTCACCAACAATTCCTACATTCATCAAATCCATCATTGCTACAACATGTAAACATAGCAATTAAAATTTGCATTAAAACCATTGCCATTGTCTTTTTACGTGCGAAGATGATAAGGTTGTTTTGACTCCTACAGCTACGATTCAATTGTCATACAAAATCTTCAATTTTCTTTCAATTCACCTATTTTACTGAGTTTTTTGCTAAATATTGATGTAATTCCACGTACATTCAGCTGCTCAAGTTGCTGGTACATTTGGTGAAGAACGTTTCCATTAAGAACGTCTAGGCCAAACTAGTACGAAAGAATCTCAACAATCTTATAACTTCCTGCCCGTTATAACATCCTGCCTCCCACGCGCTGGCCACTGCCAAGAAAAAAACTCAATCTTCTCGAACAAAAATCTCCAATTTCTGCACATTTTTACTTTAAATTGTAACCTTTTCCAGTATATTTCGTTCGAAATTAGGCATTCTTTGTTCTATTGATACTTTCACAAAGCGAATGGACGAAATTTGTTCTCTTGAGCGGAGTTTTGCATGGCGAAAACACAAAGCAGCAAAATGTCTAAACGTATGAAATCATTAATTCGTAAAATTGGCGATTCTTTACACGAATCGACTAAAATAAGGCTGTTAGGACAGCTGTTTTTAACGAATAATCAGAATTATGCACAATAGCAAAACATTGAAAAGGAAAAAAGGCTAAAAGTTTAATTTAACAAGGAAGTATAAACGTTTCTATGACTATAATAAACAAACAGTATAAATGAATAATTCTCTTTTGTTACTGAAGATTATAGAATATAGTCAGTAGAATATCTGCAACGCAATAGAAATAAAGCAGCTGATATACTTACATTTGCAGATCCTGGGCTGCCTTGGGTGCTATCCTGTCTTTTGTACAACGCTGTAGACATTTCGCACAGCCAGACCGGCGGACACCTGCTAGCCTTTCAAGGGTTGATACCTGACTGGACGTGAAATACTGAAATCGACCAAATAATGCAAACTTGCCACAAATTTTCTATCTTCCGGATAACTCAGATATTTCCTCAGCTCAAATGTAATGTGTTTTTCCCTAAACGATCTGATTATTTACTCATTAACAGCAAAATTTCCGTTGTGAGCTCGCAAATCTAACAACACTGTACTGGTGTACGCCTGCACACTGTCACCGATCCAATTGAGAACACTATATCAAAACAATCGAACCTGACAAAGAAGGGTACGGTATGCAATTATTGCAAACACTGGGCTTGGAATTCAACTTGAATTCTGTTGCATCGTTCGACCAGAACGACACTATATATAGACTGGAATATTGCAACCAATGAAAATACGAAAATGCAACCAATGAAATACGACGAAAACACAAGTTACGAAAATATTTTCTTGGCACATATATACATGAGAAGATTTGGGTCAAATTATATTAAAGATAGGTTTATGTCTAATCTAAGCCGCCGAATATTTCTATCAACTCTTTAGGAAAGCCTTGGAGCCGGTGCCAGAGATTTTCCGGCTCGTCTTAGGCAAACAACCCACGGCGGGGGCAGCACTTACCTCTGAACCTTAATTTTTGTAAGCGTCAATGTTTGTTAACATTTTGCAGTACAGATACTTGATTAATTGTAGCCACTAGCCAATATAGTTGGACAAATTTCGGCATTGATTGGAACAATTCTAGTTGCATGACGCTAAACAAGACTAGAATGCATTGTAAAATAACATGACGGTTGGCTTTCTCAGTGTTTAAAATCAAGTCAGTTTCCTCAAACATTTCTTACAATTAGTTACAATATTTACCAATGCAAAATTTACATATGCAATGATGCTGACAAGCTCATGAGATCACTGTCACTGAATATAAATATTTATAATTATAGACTACTGCAATTAAAAACTTTGATTTTTAAGAAATAGGCTGTGTCAAAATGTTTTCTCAGGTAATAACGAGATACCTGGTGTTTCCTGTTATCTCTATGAAGAGAAACGACAAAAAAGTTTACATTGAAATAAAATTCCACTCCTTATCGGGCGCCATATTGAATTTCGTGACCGCGTCTGAGAAAGCATGGTAACTATTGAGGAAAGAGCCTGGGAACGAGGTTGGGTTTGGTCATTTAACTCAGTGATTGTATGGCAGTAAGTACTAAAATGAAAGCGACAATAGACCAATGAATGAAAATATATCGTGATGTTGTATTTGTGGTTAAATTGTTACACAGCTGAAATGTCCTTCGATTTACCGAAGATATGATATCTGAAGTAGTAAGAACAGTAATTTATGGGCAAATACCAACCTAAAATGAACATGTTTTGTGATTGGCTCGTGTTTGTGCCTCGTTCTTTAGAAAACGTATTCTTTATATTTTATTGCGATTTATTGTTATAATCAACCCAGGGTTCGTATGATGTCAGGAAGACGATGTCAGAAGATATGAGTCAAATTGGATGACTTTTTAAGGACATTCATGTATCAGGAATTTCAACTGAGCACTTATAAATACTAGAGAGAAGGCATAAGAATCAGTAAAATCTGACGTTGAATTGTTCAAAAAGGGCGCAACGTTAATGAATTTCAAACAGCTTTGTCAGATATGAACATGCAAAATCAGAAAATATCATGCGTCGACTAAAGCAAGAAGAATTTTTAAGTCTTTAATAAAAGGACTTTCAAGTACTTATTTACAAATTCAAGGATAATCAAGGCCTTGAATTTTTGTTTTCAAATTCAAGGACTTTCATATTTTGTCAGTAGCGGACCCTGTCAATGATGACGCTGATACATACAACATAAAATGTTACTAATTACAATATATACAAATGCATCAATATGAAGGCATAACACTCACAGAATGCGTCCGTTTCATAAGGATTTGATTGCATTTAACTCTTTAAATGGCACCTGCTGAGCCCTGCTTTATTATAATTTCACCGCTCTGTCTAACAACAGGCAGCAGATTTTACTCGTCACGGTGAGAGCGCTACCACTCAATGGGTTAATAAAACGGAAATTTTGTGGCTGTAATTCTTAATGCTTGAAGAGAGATCGCAATAAAATTTTTTTTTAATAAAATTATTTTTAGTGTATGCGGTTCATTCTGAAGGCCCATCGTTGAGGCCCATCTTGATCGACTTTTTCATTGACATTGTAGAAGTCGCGGATAAGATATTATTTGATGAAATCAGTTTAGCAGCATTAAAAAACGTCTAATTTGGAATTCATCTATTGACATTATATATCCGGCAATTTCTACGGTGATAAAGTCCATCAAGATAAGTTGCATATAGCAGAAAATAATGGTGGATTCTGGCATCTAGGATCCAAGAACATTTTCAGACCTGGCAGAAAATGTTAAGGGCATTGCATAATGCTAGCATGTAACATTCAAGGAGAATAAACAGAAAAATTTAACCCCAAAGCTTAGGATCCCAGAAACAAAAATATTATTTCCTACTATGAGGTGTTTTCCAACAAATTAGATAATTAATTATATTTCTTCTTAGAATGACTAAAATATTACACATAGCAAAAATAATAAATGATGTTATACGGTACTTCGACATCAGCCAACTTCTAAATAATATATGTATTTACTATTCGATACTATGTTTCCTGATTGTCATCACTTGTTGCGGATTCCTCAAATGCATTGGATGAAACTGGACTGCGTTCAGCATGACCCACATCTCTTGTCACGTTTTGTGTCGCTGTCCATTGAACTTTTGTGCGCATGTATAGTTCATATTGGTGTGCACGCTTGTGATCTCGTAGTCTGTTGGAGCGGGTAAAACCTCGACCACAGATGTCACAAACATGAGGTTTGACGTCACGATGAATATGCAGGTGCTGTTTCAGGTTGCCTTGATGACCAAAACATCGACCACAGACATTACATTGAAACGGTTTTTCGCCTGTATGTGTTCTTTCGTGATTCTCGTAAGCACTACGACATACGAAGAATTTCTTGCAATAGTAGCATTGCCATTTTCGCTTACTATGAGGGCGGGATTCCTCGACCTAAATGGCAAATCAGGTTAGGATTGATTACGGATTTCTAGAGATATTCAAGCGTGTTGGAAATACAATCTTGATGTGTCATACATTGCATGATGTTATTTCAACTTTTAATAGTAGACTATGCATATTTGAGGTCCACTTGGCGATTTGTCTTTTTTAAAATTGTAGTGTATGTTCTGCCATTGTCCTAATGTTGAATAAACAAACTTCCATGTACACATTCTCTATATAATTGCATACTTTATCAATACGCATTCATTTTATGCTTGATAACAAACTCAATGATAAATACTTCTCACAAATTCAGGATTACCTGACTAGGTGAATTTTGGTCAGTCGATCCTCTAGGACTTTCAGTACCGGTAGTACTTGGAGAAGTGCTATCACGGGGGGAAACACCTTGTATTTCTTCACTTTCTTGATCCGCACAATCGATTCTCAATTCTTTATGACTTGTCACATATTCAAAACCGTTCGTCCCTGGAACCATATGTATTTTTTGTCGTATTCGCATGTTATTAGCACTTAAACCTTCATTACGCTGTGCATCTTTTCGTTCGCCCCGTGAAAGATCATCTTTTGCTCTGGTTTCCATAAGATTAACAAGATTACCGATATCTTTTTCCCAGACTATTTGCCTCGGAGAAGGAAATGAATATACTGGCCATATTTGAGCGTCTGGTTTCACGGAAATGTGCGTATTGATGTTTTTGTCGTGATAATTGGATGAATTTGTGTCCAAACTTCTTTCCTTTGATTTTCCTAAAGAAAAACAGTCCAGCGTTTGTAGCAACTTGACTACTCGGCAAAAACCATTTCATTATCCGTCAGATACCACTATGAGTTCTGTTTTATACGTCGAATTTTGGACGCGTCGAATTCAATTAAGACAATAGATAATAAATTCCTCATATTAAAGGCTGTTTTCCACTAGGCAGAATTTTCCGCGCGGAGCGGAATTTTTCTTTGTCTTGTGACTTCTCTGGTGGAACTAATTAGAAAAGACAAAGAGAAATTTCGCTCGCGCGGAATATTCCGCCTAGTGGAAAACCGGCTTTAAGCTTCATCATCTATTGTTCGAATTGCATTCGACGCGACAGAAATTCGACGTATATATAAAACACGTCCAAGTCTTGAATTATCGCACCTAGCTGAGTCAGGATATAGATAGGACTTGCAAACTAAGTCAGATCTGCAAGTGATATTGGGAATATTATATTCAACTTGCATAACTTGAAATTTTTATTTTTTTCTGCATTTAACTTGCGTAAAACCCTACCACCACTTACCATGTAAGATAATGTCATATTCTCGTTCAGTTAGAATAGTTGGGTCTTGTGTTATGATACAGACCAAAGCTGAAGAATTTTCTCGTTGCCTCAAGCCTATTATTTGACCATGTCCGCCAACTGATGCATACAACATTTTTATCAAGCCAAAAGTTGTCCCCCGCTCCACACTTAGAACAGGAGTGTCACAGTGGTACAGCACAACCTACAGGAAATGTAACGAAAACACAACTCAGGTTTCCAAATTTCCTTTCTAGAAATTTGATAGAAATTTTAATTTTAAAAAGTGGAAATACTGCGAGCACTGAACTCTATAGCAAGTGGAGAGGAGAAAAAAAGGAAACTATATACTCAACCAAACCGATATGGTGTTGTGAATAACAAACTTTGTTTGGAAGACAATGTCTGTCAAGTAATTTAATGCTTTCGTAAACTACAACAATAAAACTACGCACGTAAGAATCCAGAGTTATTAATTGGCTGGCAACGCTACAAACAAGCGTAGCCAGGAAGTCGAACTCATTGTAATCTGTGTTTTGCATAAACCTTAAAAGCTGCTTTCTAGTTAAATTGAGCGTTTCATGCGTACGTACCACTGATCTACTATTAGATCAGCGGTACGTACACGCAAGGGAAAAATTTAAACCTTACTAAATTTAATTTAATATAAGTAGCAATTACCTCAACAACGCATGTGTAAATATTACGGTTGCTTAACTGGAGAGCAGCTTTGAGGGTTATGTTTAAACGAGATCATTTTTGCTGCAACTTGCAATACAATTTCGGAAACAGGGTCATGTTATCTAAAACGAAGGCACAGAGAAATTTCGAGCGCCGACATTCACCTGATCGTGAAGCATGAATAAAGATGGACAACGTTGACAGCGTAGAACGCGGGCTATTGTAAAGTGCAGAGTCTTCCTCTCCCCCCCCCCACCCCACCGCACTAAGACGATCTGGATATATCCCCCCTGATCTCTCTTTTTACCCAAAATTGCGTTGCATTAACGCAGTTTGTAAAAGTGAAAACAAAGAAAAATACAGAAAATGGACACTTCAAGACTCCACCCTAGAATAAAAACTCAACTTGTAGATTATAGCCACTACGCTTTTACATACGAACATTTTATTTGTTGTAATAAAATAAAATTAATATCCCTATCATTTGTTTCAGAGAACATTTTATTCTCTATTTTATTCCCAAATCAACACACGTACAAGGCATTGGCTGTGCTTGGCGTTACCCTGAAGATAATTATTTGCCAACAACCCTGATTTGTTTTTAAATTGTCCAATGGCAATGGGTATTACATGTGACTAGGAGGTTCCCCTTGAGACTGTCTTTAACACAGAAATATTTTTTCAAAATCCTTATTTTGGTATGTATAGATCGTTGGAAAATCCAGTTTCATACTAATTGCAATTTCCATACTATGTATGGATATAGACTATAGTTTAAAAATGTATTGAATTAAACTTATGTATAAAAATGTTTGGCACATAAGACCCAAAAGGGTGCATTAGACCGGTCATTGTGCCTTGAACGTTTAAGTGTTATGAGACAACAATGATATATTTGCAACAAGACTTCTAGGTATTTAAATTGTCCTTTTACGTAAAAGCGGACAATGCTTTAATATGAACCAACGAAGATAACGCCCACCGATATGTAGCTTTAGCTTTTTTGTTCGTATATTCTGATGAAGAATATTTGTTTTAAAGAAAGACTAGCTAGGTCAAACTAGTAAGATTTATGATAACAACTCTTTTTTAATAGAAACACAATCTATCTTTAACAGAAATACAAGTTTCACAATTTGAAATTATGCATATTTAATATTGAACTTGACTACATGAGTAGCATTTTATATATTTTGTTTCAATTTTATACAAAGCTATGATTGCTGACCACACAATACAAGATATTCATTATTTTGCTATCTATTTCATCCCAATATTAGCTTTTACAGCGTTTCCAAAGTGAAATACTTATCTGCAAAAAATCTTATAACTTCCTGCCTTAAAGCATCCGGCCTCCCACGCACGACCATGCATTGTACGGAATAAATTCCAATTCTTCCAACAAAACTATCCAAAATTTACACGTTTTACTTTCAATTGTTACATTTTCTGCTTGATTTTGTTCGAAATTAAACATTATTTGTTCTGTCCATGCCTTTAAAAAAGCGAATGAGCGAAATGTGCCTTTGAATGGAGGTTTGCATGGCGAAAAATAAAGCTGGCAAAATGGCTATATCTCCACTAACCCGAAGCATACTGACGTCTTAAATCATATTATTAGTCCCAAAGTTGGCAATTTTTTACTTTAATGTACTAAAATAAGGCTATTAGGACTAGTTATTAAACGAGTAGAAGAGGAAATATACACAATAGCAAAACATTGAAAAGGAAATACGGCTAAAAGGGAATGCAGCTGCAGTATATAATTCATCGAGGAAGTAAACGACAAACACATTACGTTTCTATGACTATAGTATACTGCACATATCATAAATAATTTCAGATTATAGAACACGGACAGTACATTTCTCTTTGGATTTTGTACATCCTTTTACAGTGAATGGATACGAATACGAGTAATAAATTATGACAAAAATCCAAGCCTACTAAAATTCTAAACTTCTAATATTTATATTGAGACGAATTGTAGCAAATTAAAATATTCTGCATTCTGCAAATTAATAGTTATTTTAGGCAGAAGAAAACATTTGTATTTGCAGTGCAAAATTTAAAGCTGATAGACTTACATTTGCAGAGCCCACAGGGCTGTCTTGATTGCAGCTATCTTGTCTTTTATCCAACGCTGTAGACATTCTCACACTCAGATGGGCACCCGTTTATAGTCTTCCAAGATAATCTGTCAAAAGTGAGTTATTTTGATATACAGTCGAACTGGATGTCAAATCGCTCCAATGATGCAAAGACGCCGCCACGTTTTTATCTGCTAGATATTCTCTCGGGCAAAATTGTAATGTGCTTTTTTCCAAATGTCTTTGATTAGCTCCTGTTTAATATTACAGCGGAATTCTGCGAGGTCGCAAAACTAACACTGTATACATGCACAATTGAAAGCACTGTATGTGAGCACCCTGTCTTGATAAAGACCGCGCTATGCAATCAATACAAATACTGTACGACTTCCTCTGAAGCTACTACTTCCTTGTACTACGAGACTGGCATTTCTCAAATTGCATGCATTCTTTTTTTGCATCTCAGCAATGTTCTAGTAACTTCTAGAATTTCAACGTGCAACACTTGGGTCAGCGGAAAACCTATTAACTCAGGTTTCGTATTTCATCTTGCACAGATATTTTGGATCCGTACACTGTGTACGATATTACACGCGTAAAAACGCTCAGGGTTGATGCAATACTGATGAAAACAGGATTGAACAATGTTTTGCTGCCCACATTGTTCACAGTTGTCAACAATATTGAACAATATTGTTACACCCGATGTGAACAATGTGGGCCGAACAACATTCAATCCTGTTAAACAGCGGGCTCAATTTTTACGTACGCGTGTACGTGCACACCCGTTCCGCACGTTATCAACAATATAGTATTGTAATTGGTACGTGGCATTGCTTGTCGACCCCCAGCAGCGCTACGCAGTCTGCATTTTGGATCCAAAATATCCATGCAAGATGAAGTATTTATGCAGATCTGCGTAGTTGATTCTGAATGGTCATGACTGAACTTAATTAATGAATGCTTCTGATTGGCTGGACTTTCAAAATCGAAATAATATTTACTTGACACTTGATCTCACTGTAAATTTTACTTCTCTCTGTACTCCAAACTATAAATTGTTCTTGTTTAAAATCACAAACATGAAACTACATTGATTGCCGTTCTTCGTTCTAGATTTCAAGCGACAACTGCTGAGTCGATCACTCACCAAAATTCGCTTGCTTAATCTTTCTATACTGAGGGTAAACTATCGCACCCTGCTTCGTGAAATTATAAGAAGTGGCCAACATTTACTGTAAACGTCACGCCAAGCCGCAAGCTGTACCAGATAATGCATATGCCTTGACATTACACATTAGATAAAGATGAGGTATTATTTAATAATTTACCCGTATCATTTCAGGATACTATGTAGAACATTCACTAAATGTTCAGAAAATGAAATTTATGGCACAATATTTAATATTAGAACAATTCACCTAATGTAGACCCTTTCATGATGACGCCATATAATTGCAAGTACCAGAATTATAGCACGTATAGAGTAATAACCTGGGTTCGGGGTTAGGTTAACCCCCCCCCCCAATAGAATCTCTCTAACCCCTCTTATAAAGTGTTCAACCCCACCAAAATTTCGCTTCACCCCTCCTATTTTGTGTGAAAGTCTTTAAACCCTAACGCCTAACCCCTGTCGAAGCTCACTCAGTGGTCCCCACTAGAAATTTTTCTACTCCTCCTTTGAAAATGAAAATCCGCCCATGGTTTTAAGTAAAAATATGAAAGTTTTGAGTTTCAACCTTATACCGTCTTGGAGTGAACGGCAAAAACGTCAGCGGTCACGTGACCAAAAGAAATTTTTATTTAAGGCTCAGAATTTCTTTTAGAAGAAAATATTTGCAGTGAAACCACAAAGAACACGTAAAGAAATGATTTGATATTGAGCATGGCAAATTTCGTCAGAAATGAACAACATTTGGCATCAGCAAATTACATTGGAGTTGAAAAACTAAATTCAATTTGATCATCGTAAATGTTAATTAATCATTCCTGATCAAACTTAGAACCTACGATATAAAAACGTTTCTGCACATGATTCCTGCGGTTTCAGTGAAACTATTTGCGTAGGGCCAAAAAAATGTGGGTTTCCGGTTTCCCGACCCTACCTAGCTTTTGGACGCCGAAATCCCGTCCCTAAACTTTTTTATTGGATCATGTTTGTAAGTGTTTCCACTTAGAGGAAAACGTTGGTGAAAAATGGAAATTTGAGGCAATATTAGGGAAATATATCTTTGAATGTGGAAGCACTGACTAAACAAAATGGCGTCCGGTTGTTAGGAAAATTTAAAAAAAAGTTAAAACAGACCTACCCTACCTAAGTTTTTACAAGAAGAAATAGAAAACCCACATACTTTTTTTGGCCTTAGAGATATTGGGTATAAATAAGAATTTTTTGAAGTCACATGGCCATTCACGTATTTGCCGTTTACTCCAAGATGATGCGAGGTTGAAACTTAAAATATTCATATATTATGACGCAAAATATCACACCATACACAGTATCTGTTTTTCAAGGTTATTCCAGAATATGTGCTTTAATTCTGGTAGTTGTGTTCATATGACGTCATCTAAAAATAAAATTAATTAAACTTTCCTCTGATCATCTTGGCCAGTCTGTTCATAGAAATCTGTTATGACGTCGAAAGTGGTCTTCAATTCGTTGACGAATTCTGCCATCTCAGCGAGGACCACACTTTCGTCTTGGCCTAATTTCTGCATAAAGTCTTTTCGGTATGGAACAGCCTTCATCGCCAACTATTTTTGGAGAGACAAAACACTATTTACAGGGCTATGGCAACCGGCGAAATAAGGTCTGGTTTATTCAACCTGCATGAGCGCACAGAACTAATTATGAAATTTGCACGGCCATGTGACGTATCTGAGCGAACCAGTTTTAAGGTACAGCCTAACCCAGAGTCCCTCATTCCTCATAGGAATCTCACAATTTCATTATACTGCAAGTTCATTATAAAGATCGTCAACAACGATATTCGTGCCTTTCCAGGATACAAACCTGGCAGTTTACATAATTAAACTGTCAACAACTGCATTTATTTAACAGCCGGCAGATCTTTAATAATCAGAATTAAACTGTGTGGCACCCCTAGTGATAACTATTCCTAGTATATACAAGTTAATATGCGTATATATGGACAAGTATAACACGGCAATTTGGTACATGTTTATGACAGTTTTAAAATAGAAAGAGATGTAAGAAGGAAAACTCCACGTCTTGCCAGAACTGTCCAGGCTGCCTTTTAAAATGTCGAGTTTCATGCACATGTTAACACGTCTGCTTATAAAATAGCGCCGTTCAGAAAATAGACTTACAAAAGCATAATTATAAAATCTGAAATATAATACATACTGAAAATATACTTTGAACCATCCACCCGTGATATTTCTTTAATGTTCCCTCGTATGCTTTTTTAGCACATTTTGTAAGATCTTCTTCACCAGTTAGAACTTGTTGAAGAAACACCAAAATAAAGGACAACGCTCTGGAAAATTAAGATAAACAGAGTTATTGCTGTGAGTTTTGGCATGTAGCATTTCACAAATTGATATTAGATCTACTTTGTTATGAATATAGTGAATAGAACCCCTTGAACAATGTATATTATACAATAATGCATGTTTATGAGAGCAATGTTTCATGAAGTGAAAAAATATTTTCATTCGATGAAAGGTGGAATTTTCCCATGTATGACGATGTGACAGCCGAGTGGAATAGAAAATTCCATCTTGCAACGAATAAAAATATTTTTATTGCACAAATGAAAACATTCATTATTTGTTTTATATAACACCAAAATAAATTGTTGTCGATTTTTATTGAACTAAAGATAGTGATTAACTCTCAAATACGCGCTTCTTATTGGATGACGTTTGCACTTAATTATAGTTAACTTTAATCACTTTTTTATACAACCGGCCCCAGAATTTAATAAGGTGCTACTGTAAATACATGTAATATCTATACTGTACCTTTTCAACCAAAGAAGGGCATCAGTCGCGGAATTCTTTGCCTTTGTAGTTCCAGCATCAACTTCACTTTGAATAATATCTTGCAGAATCTTGTATTTCTCCGTGTCCTCCTTGTATTTCTTCGTAAGTTTCTGTAAAATTCAAATAATAGATCTATAATTGTTTTTAGTGAAAAAGTACAGTTCTATATTGTATTATTTATAGGGAAATGGCGAAGGAAATTAAATTTGAAAGAACTTTTAAAAATGACATATAAAGACCTTTCGCACTTTTTCGAGATTTGAGCTGTCTTGATTTAACATCGCCTAATATTTACCTCGATATTACCATTGATATCAGACTTCACGGGAGCAAATGCCGTTGGTCCAAGAATGTCTATAACACAATACGTCATTCGTCAATATTATTGACATGAACTTACATGTATATGTAACAATCCTGTATACACCATAGGCTCAGCCCTATAAAGTATAATGCAGGTAGTTTCAAATACACTATCTATTATTTGCTTATACAAACTTTATTTGTTACTGTGTCTGCCCTGGCCAGCTGAGGCCATATTTGAGAAGACACAGTTCCGCATTGGAGGAAACACAGTCCGCCCGTACGGTTTTCTGAATTTCTCGGAGTTTATATATTCTTGTATTTCTACGATACCGTAGATAAATGTTTTCTATAACCAGTATAGTCCTCAAATCATAACAAGCGTGCTCACCCAGAGAGGCCTTATTACCCTTAAAGCATGAATCACTAGAACGTTTTTTATTCCAGGGTATCCTAAAAACGAACACCAAAATCTTCTTTAATTATTAAAAGATTAAAGAAGATTTAATTAAAGACTTGCCATCCCTGAAACTAGGAATGTAGACGCATTCCTGAATATTACGAAAACATGACACTTTTCTCGGGCAAGAGGAAGGATCCACGATTTTGGTAAAACTGTGCATTACATTTCTTCTTAGATCACCCAAACAGTCAAGTCCGTAATGTAAACAAATCCTTTGTTTACATTTTGAACGGCTATATTTGTAAAATAGATAGATGATTTATTCAGTTTTAAAAGACTTTACAGCTGATAATGGCTGAATTGCGTTAAAACTTTACAATTACAAAAATTTAAGAAACCTAACGATTAAAAATATTTACAATTACTAACAATAAAAGAATTCATAAACCGATCAGTTTTGGCCCTTGGAACGTTAAGTTGCCTTTTACGTCTCAGTTGGTATGAACAGTTATTTTCAGATGGTAGTAGAGATCTGAGTTTGTGGGATTGATCTCGAGTGATCTCATTAAACAACTTGCACGTCAAGAGCTGCCTGCGTTCGAAGAGGCGAGGCAGACCGCTTTCTTCGAGGGAATCAGTGTAAGGCATCCAAGGGTAGATTATTCTTAGAGCTCTCGTCTGCAGCCTTTACATACTAACTGAATATCATATAAACTAGAGTACATTTCAATTAAAAAAAGTTCGAAAGATGCAAAATTTGGGCAATGTTTATATCTGTGGGTCCGCCTTTGTTATGGGCAAAACTGATGCGCAGAACGAACTTGACATGGTCTTTAAGATTTTGTATACTGATTGCATGATATAGATAACGGTTTATATCTACAAATACTGCATGATAAAAATATAATAACCTCGTATTTAAAAATTGATGTACAGGAAAGCCTTCTTTAATAGATATGGCATTATTTTTAAGCCAAGCAAAAAGTTTAAAAGCACGTCACTATCCTACGTAAGCCGAAAATTCAATAATTTGAAGACAATAAAACAAAGTAGAACCTTAAAAATCAACTTTAACTTTTCCTAACATCTCTTATTGATGAGTGAAGCATCTGGTTTTAGACCGCAAAGTAAAATGATAAAAGATGGCGAATCGGGGAACAGTTTTCTCTTGACAAGTCGAAAGAGCGAGAAATAATCAGTGGGAAAAAACTACCAATTGTAAGTGTTTCTAAAACTATATAGATGATTCTGACTTTGATGAGTGGAATCAGCTGGCAGTAAAATAATAAAGTAGGTCACATATATAACATGCAGGGTGTATAAAAAAAAAGGTAATCGAACTTCAGCGCGCTATTGTATCTGAATTACTCTGCGTATGAACGAGATTTGTTCACATTCGGAAAGATCATGCTTTTAGCTGTTGAATGATATCTTCTTCATGCTAAGTGGATAAAAGATGAGCAAATACGAATCTGGGTCTAAAACAAAACCATTGAAAATGAACCCCCTTTAGGACTTAACTTGATGAATTTCACTTCATTAAACTGTACACTTATAATTATTATTAAGTAGGAATAAATCTTAGCTAAGTTACGACACGTTCGTGATTAATTGCTTTTTCTTTTGTTATGCATTGTTTTAATTAGGCACAGAGGTGAAAATACGCGATTTTGACTAACATTTTTAATCGGCCTCGTACATGCTTATTTTTTCTCCACTTGGCATGAAAAGCATGTCATTCAATAGCTAAAAGCCTGATCTTTCCGAATATGAAAACCAATTGTTCATACGCCGAGTAATTCACGTATAATAGCGCGCTGAAGTTCGATTACCTTTGATACACCCTGTATAAGCAAATTGCAGCTTAATCAGGGCTGCCAACCTTCACGCATGAAGCGTGAAAGTTACGCATTTCCCCCGAACATTTTCGTGGTTACGCCCGCATAGTAAATTCATCGCAAAAGTAATGCATTTTTTCCCATTTGTCCAGGATGAAACGCAACGTTAGTTTTTCAGTGATTAGTGCCTAAATTGTGATTTTCTCCAGAGGATAAAATGTGAATTCAGAATTAGCACTTTTAGACATCGAAGCAGGCTGAAGTAGTTAAAGCTTGCCGTCTCGGACATATATGATGACGACCGACGAAAATAAGACACGAATTAATATCAGCACAATGTATTAACTCTGAATGGTAAATGTTGTGAATATATAAAATAATTTGTGTCATTCATACTTGTTTCCAAGCCAAAATTAACGTGCTTGCCAAGAACAGCACTAAGACTTCGTTAAGCAATAAGCCCGTTTTCCACTTCACCATTTCGCTCGCTGCCCCGCCCTCAATTATAAAACAACAGTTCTGTTGGACACCAATAATCAATACACTTGGACAAACAATAAACCTCAGTTTCACCAGTTTCACTTAGGTGGGACAGAATGTCTTGTGTTTCCTCTCTACGTCGGACAATTTCACGAATGGATCGGACAATGTCCGTGACCGACCGGTATTTTAAGGCCTGCTGCGTTTCACTCATTTTATTTTCATAGGGTTGGCAGCATAGAGATTATAAATAATACTAGAGGGGGCATCACAATCTTGACATCAGGCAATAAAAGGAATATGGCTATTGGGGGGCAAATTCAAGTCCCGGCTGTGTACTCATGTTCCCATTGGTGAGGAGTTTCAATTTAGCCAATGAGAGCATGATTTTATATCCGGGACCTAAATTTGCCCCCCCCCCCATAAGCTGCACCCAAATTTTAACCTTGATGCCTTCTCTAGTGTTATTTATAATCTCTATAATGGTTAGCAGCCCTGCTCAATGGGTTAGGTTGCCATGCACCCTACTTTAGTTGCGGAGTTGTTCATGGGTGTCCAATAGCGATAATGCAAAGCTCACATCCCTTTGTGGTCGTTTGAGCACTCTGGCCCCATTACACTCTGCACATGTCTAGATGCGTCAATACCTTCGTGTTGTACCACATGCGCTTGGTGAGAGCACGCTCATGTGTATAAATATGGATGTATCATGTATCTAGACATGTACCAAGCTGCACTGAGAAGGCATTGAATGCCGAAACATGCATGTCTGCATATTGTATATACATATATTTTTGTCTCTACTCCGAGTTTCACGCATTACTGCGATCCCAGGAGACATTGTTCCCAAATACCATTGGTTTTTCCTTGTTTGATGGTGTAACTGTGCGCACAGGAGGATTGTTGATGTCGCTTTCACGCGTGCAGACCACATTTCCCACTAAAAATTGTTTCTGGTGCACACACTTCGAGAAGATTTCCGATCTTTTGTTCAGCAGATTTTCGTCACGAGATTTGAAAATCAGCAGCTTCTCTTGTAAGCATAGGTTGCATCTTGGTCTTCCACTTGTGTATGGGACAGCCTTATTCTTCTTCTTTATATATATACAGTATATATATATATAGTTTTTTGTTTTACCTCAAAAAACCACAACAGTCTGTTTCATCCATATAGGAAACACCTGACGATTCCTATACGGATGAAACAGACTGTTGTGGTTTTTTGAGGTAAAACGAAAAACTATATTACGCTCTATGTATATGGTATTGAGCACTGTTTGTGTTTCGTAAACCATATATATATATATATATATATATATATATATGGTTTACGAAACACAAACTGATTTCAACACATGTTAACTGGAAATGTTGGCTAATGTTGTTGTCCCAGGTGTTCCAAATTATGTGTGAACATTTTGAACTAACATTTTATATTGAAATTTTCTATTCAAAAACCTAATAAGCAATTAGAACGACAATGTTATACATAAAATCAAACAAACGAACAACTATTTATAGCAATACTTGAAAATTGAAGAAAACAATGCCAGCGTCAACGTTAAAATATTTATAGAATCTTAATAGTTTCAAGATAATATTCGGCTGCTTCGACAGCCGCACAGGAAAGACGTGAATACAAAATGTGAACTTACCAAAGAATGGAACTATTTCTTGACATGCTTGAAGAAAAGGATAGGTTTCGATTCTCTTGTCTTCGGATATAGGCTGAAATCTATATTTCGCTTTGGAAAAGAACGTCATTTTGTTGCAAATTTTGTTGCAAATTTTGTTTACGTCCGCTTTCAAAGAAATTACGAATGAAATTATGAAAAATTCATTCATTCATGCATTGAGCCCGCGTATTAAGTTCAAATCAGTTCCCAATACTTCATCTTACATTCTAAGTTCTACGTTACTGACGTTAGCGCCACTTAGCGAGTTGATGTCTTGATGAGATTCCTTTGCCCAGTATCAAAAACGTTTCTAAAACGTCGAGGGTTTTTCCTAGCCTCGTTTTTAATAGACTTGCTCCAAGTCGATCTCGTCTACTATTTAACGTTAACTGCAAGTGCAAGGTTTTTGATATTCAAATTGCACTTTTCCTACCTCCTGCTGTTAACATATTAATGGAAGGCGGTGGGCGACTTTGATGTATCGAAATAAGTCACTAGACTAAACAAAAGTTCAAATGCTGGTTAACACAACTCAAATGTTGTAGAAAATATCTTGTAGTTCAAGAAGATTATTATTGCTGCTTGAACAACCTTTCGTTTACAGTTAACTATAATCTATCTCTAGAAAATAATGAAGTTCTTTGCTGAACCTTGCACCGTGACTTATTTCAACACATCAAAATAATCCCGCCTCACATCTCATCTTGGCAAAGCGGGATCATATAAACACCTCCTTAAGGCAATTTTCCATTACAGTCGCTTTGCCCGCGCAGGCGAAGCGAACATTACTCAACTTTCTCTGTAGTTGTCTATCATGTGTATTTTTTGTCCGCCTGAATGCTCGCAGACACGCCATGAAAGTAGAACCACATTCAATTTTCATGGCGTTCCTGCGCGACTGATTTTTCACGTGATTAAGGTGGCTAAGGTGGTCGCTCCATCCGCGCGGGCAAAGCGACTGCAATGGAAAATGGCCTTTATTCAGCAAATTGCGCATGCTGCTTTTGATCCCTTGGGGGTGAGGCAGCACTTTCCTTGCGATAGTAATTTCTAGTTTTTTAGTTGATTTAGTTTTGATTGACATCTGATGAAATATTAGAACTGTGACTGTGACTGCGGAAGACTGTATGCTTGCTACAGAAGAACAAAAACGTATAAGAGAGATATATTGTTAACAGTTTTTGATTGAAGAGAATTACAAACTGGTAACCTGGTTACTTGGACATTGCCACAGAAGTAAGTAATGTTCTATACAGTATATGCAATTCGTATCAAATATATATACAGATGTTATTCAACTTATTCGCGTCACAAATAGCTATATCAAATATTTTCCTTAATTTATATCGAATTGTTGTTATTTCTTTGACCATATAATCCTTCAAATATGATACGATCAGTCCCTGTACTGATTGCTTATCAAGTCGACGAACCACACCACAAGCATGCCTGCATGCCCCCAACAAATGATAAGGAAACAGGACTCGCGAGCTTGTAGATTTTGCCATTTTGGCAGTAAACCAAATTTTATATAATGCGTTCGACAGTTACTGCCGTTAGTGCTCACTAAATGTCGCTGCATGTGGAGTACAGTATATTGTACTTTCTCTCTACTTTAAAACTGTTAACATCAATACCGTACAGAGTCCATAGAGACGACAAAGACCGTAAATATGCGAAGTTCAAGGCAATTTGAAGAATGAAGGGCGCAACATGCTGAGCTTTAACACCTCCTAATCGGCCCCTCGGATTACCCTATTTAAACAAAAATTTCTATACTATAACATGCTAGTTTAATATTAGCAACGATTAAATTTTCTTATATTTAAACCAAGCTTCAAGACTCATCTTGACAAAACAAACCAACAACGCAATTTTTTTATTTATCCTACTTTTAGTGTAATACACATATTGAACATCAACGTGTCACAGATAAATATCCAAAATTTTAAACTACAGGGTGTCCCAAAACCCCCCGAAAACTATTGAAATCACTTATTGTTAAAATTGAATGTCCTACCAAACAGCTGAACGTAATGATGCGTAAAATATTGACAAGGTGCATGTATTAACATTTAGTTAAGAACATCTCCTTGTAAAGTGCACGATATTCTGCTCTTGGGAATTTAAAGCAGCTTCTTAAATAGTTTCTTCATGCATAAAATTTACTTATGACAATAATTTATGCACTTGTGGGAACCAACAAAATGCTAAGGCATTCAAATTCTAACAATTAAATTGTTATTGGTGATTTCAAAAGTTTTCGTTTTTTTGGGACACCCTAGAGAGTTACTGAAGCCAAATAAACACGACACCACAGGGTGTATAAAAAAAGAATACCCTTTTCGAATTAACCGTGACTATTCCAGTAATTTGACAGCCGTATAATTTATCGAATTCATTAATTGAAAACACAAGGTCTTCCGCACATGGGAATTTAGGATAACTTCTATTTGTATGAACAAATACACAACTCAAAGAGAAATGTTTAATTTAAGCATTATTCAAGTCTGCATAAGATATAAAATGGGCCAGCTTACTGCAGAGCAACGAATATTTAAAAGTTATGGCTAATTTGAATTTGAGAGGGTGTACATTTATAAACCATTTGTGAAGTTTGAAAGATATATTCACTTTGTCTAAAGGCTTATTGAGTGTGGAAAGTGACAAGACAGATCCTTCCATATTTTAAATAACAAGATACATCATTGAAGGGTTTGAATCCAGGTTGAAACATTATGTTTTATTTGTTCTTCCAGATTAACAAAAAGGTAAAATACTTTAATTTGTCTAACGTTTCCGTTTAGGAAACCGAAACGTTAGACAAATTAAAGTATTTTACCTTTTTGTTAATCTGGAAGAACAAATAAAACATAACATAAGATACATCATGATAGATCCTTCCATATTTTAAATAACAAGACACATCACATGTTACCAATATACAGGGTGTATAAAAAAAAGATAATCCAACGTTGGGCTTTGCCTTTGGCATGTTATCATGCATACTATATTACGTTTATATCCTTGGCCATTTACGTCTTTTATACCAATAAAGATCAGGCTTTTAGCTGTCGAATGATGCCTTTCTTGTATCATTGCGATAAAAAATAGCCAAATACGAAATGCCGCTCGAAATCACATTTTCCCACCGTTGACGTTACCTAAACCGCACACGCGAGAGAAACTTGCTGAGCTAACCGCCTCGCGTGGCAGCTAGCTAGCTCAGCTATGCATTTTCACCGCTATGCGTTTTCAAAACTGCTCAACAACAACATAATTGACAAAATCGTTTGCATTTTCCTCCATTTTGTTCAAAGTCACGTGAAACTATGGTTTCTCATTGGCTAATTGATTCAAGCAGCTCAGCACCGTGAGATGTTTTCCTCGCGAGATGCCTGCCGCACACGAGAGCAACTTGCTGAGCTAACCGCCTCGCGTGGCAGTATTGAAATTATATTCTCATGTGGGATTCATGCAAATTTAAGGCCTGTTTCAAACATCGTGCTTCTCGTGTGCCGAATGCATTAGAAACGATAGATAATAAGGCAATTTCAGCTGATTATGTTATAGTTTTTAATGCGTTCGGCACATGAGAACCGCGACGGTTGAAACAGGCCTAAGGGCCTGTTCATATGGGCAGAAGTTATCCCGGTTAGCGAGAAAACTTTTGGACAAGTTTACAAGCGAGATCTCGCCTTGGTATGAAAATAATATGAAAAGTTACACTGCGTTCATATGAGACAAAAAGTTTTCCCGTGTACCGAGATCTCGCTTGTTGACAGGCGAGATCTCGGTGACCGGGATGTTTTTCCCATATGAACACAACTTTCCCGCTTAGCGGGATAACTTTCTGTCGTGTCAGCAACTTTTCAATTCAATTGATGTTCAGTGCCACGTCACAGCCGAAAACTTTACCCGGTAAGCGGGATAAAGTTTCTCCATATGAACAGAACAAAAGTATTTGGCTAGTCGAAAAGTTTTCTCGTTAACCGGGATAACTTTTGCCCATATGAACAGGCCCTAAGTCGCTTGAACAAGATGGCGCAACGCATGTGTAAGTATCAAGTTTTAGTAAATTTTTACTCGCAATTTTGCATCGAAATTGAGTGGTTAAAACATTTTACAGAACTGCAGTTTGCAGACTGAAATCGCAATGCCATACCGCATACGTTTTCCAAATGCGCAACAAGCATTTATAGGCAAATGTTCAAAAATTGGAAGAACAGTTAAATCCTAAAAGTGGGAAAATAAACCAGATCGAATTTGATATCACAATGATTCCATAAAGGCGTCATTTACTCATTTGGCAGCTAGAAGGCAGAAGTCAAGCCTGATCTTTATAAAAACGAAAACACCAAACCTGTAAATGTAACAATTAACACACGATACACGGTCAAAGTTGGATTTTTTATACACCCTGTATAGCTGATTGAAATATACAGTCCCACATCAATAAATAATTACATGAGAGCAAGAAACATACCCTTTAACGCCAGTTGTTGTTACTTGTTGCTGAATTTTTACCTGGTGATTATTCTTGGCCTTCTCTGCAGCTAATTCTATTTGAGGTTCTTTTTTGTTGCCATATATTGCCCAACTTTAAAGCGGTTGTATATCGACCAGGAGGCGATGACTGCTATATAAATAATATAATTATATATCAACATGTAGGTATAAGCTACTGACATTGGCGATTGTTTTACAACATTCGCCCACAAGAAAGGCAAAATGATCAAAACAAAAAACATACGATTCACCGAAGGTCTAAAGTCTTCAAAATGTCTGCTATCCTTCGGGTATTCAACGTTAACAACGCATAAAAGTTTATTGAAGCGAAATACTCGAGGAAATGCTAGCTGTTTCACGATGTATTCACGCTGTTGTCATTTTGTGAGATATTCTGAGTACGACATGCGCAAAAATAAACATTTCTTCACAATAATACCTTCAGGTTTGATATCATTAGATTCCAGGGTTTGTTTCATTGAGGCTACCAAAAAAACACAAAAATTTGAAATAACGTATTGCTAGAACTTGAATGCCTCAACTGATTCAAATTCTAACAATACGTTATGCTCAGCACTCTGCTGAACCCACAAGTGATAAAATCTTGACATAAGCAAATTTCATGCATAAGAAACTGTTTAAGAAGATGCTTTAACTTGTGCTGTGCACCCCTATGTCATTTAAGCGTTGTTTTCATTACTTGTTAGCAAACTTTTCAGTTTATGTGCTCCTTGTACCATGGATAATAAAATAAATGATTACAATCCATGCTTGTACATAAAGAGTCCTGGTCAACCACAATGAACTGCGCACTTTTGTTTACGTTTTTCCGTTACTTTCATCAATTATTGCCGCCATTTTCGGGAAGAGATTATTTCGCTGGTCTCAGAGTGACAAAACGTAACAAAGCAACGGTTTTACTAACACTAACCCTACTCCAAACACCAACTCTAACCCTAACCTAACCCTACTCCAAATTTGTTTCTAAACCAATCTTGAAGAAAAAAGTTTTGACGAAATGTCATCATCTGAGGTCAGCGAAATAGTTGATGCCCCATTTTCGAGGCCACACAAAATGGCTGCCTCTGGCCCACAACGTAACAGAAACGTAAACAAACGCACGCATTGCATTGTGGTTAACCAGGACTCTTTAAATTGTTATATTCACGTACGATTTTCCATTGCAAGTGTGCAAAAAGTCGTCAAAAAACTAAAATAGTGAAAATTTACATTACTACTATATGCCGCCATGTTGATTTTTCCTGCCTCGTTTCCAGGCTTTGCTGTTCTTTTGCTAATTGCACTGCAGTATTGCACAATGTGTAATTCCAAAAATAATTGAATTGCTCTTAGCCAATTAGCCATATTTTTTCATATATATTATTATACATGCTACGTAATTTAATTTGCTCACGGAGGTGACCTGTTTTATTTGGTTCAATCTTCTTCAAAGACTTTGCCGGCGTGTACAAACAATTCCAAACATGGCTTTCTTTATAAGCCACATAATTGACAGCTTTGGGATAGATATAGCGTATGTGTCTCTATGGACAACAGCATGCCATGAAGCAAATTAATTTGCCTAGAAAAACAAAGACAAAGTGTTATGGTATAAGCGAGCAAGCAAGCAAGCAATATCAGCAAGCAAGCTAATTTATGAAAGATATTAAATGAAAATTTTACAACAATAACTAGCTACGATTTTTCCTGTCTTGGTGTTATGTATTCAGTCTACTCAGGTGAATATAATATTTGTGATGTTACTCTGAGTGTATATCCACACCGGGCAAGCTTGAAAAAATATGCCTGCATACTAGCCCATTGCTCTGCCAACTGAGCTACGCGGTGAGGTCGGTTCGAGTATGTGATATTTCGGAACTGAGTCCTAGTTCCTTCGATATCAATGCAATCTAGTAATGTGAATTTTCCTGTGTTGGTGTTATGTATACTAGCTACCTTATTCGTACTTAATTTCGCGCGTATCTAATTACGCGATTTTTTCGAGGCAAATAGATGGAGGCAATATTTCGCTAGACTTTATTTTCGCGATTTTGATAGGCGAAAATAGAAAAAGGGCATTAAAATTCACGGAAGCAGCTTTGACGCTTTCTCTGAACAACATTTTATATTCTGTAAAAATTTGAACTACAACTTCAACAGTGACTCAGATGAAACCGATAAGATGCATTAACAATTATTAGCCGAAGGTGAATAATTGTTTTAGTATTTTTACACCAGACTTTTGTGTTTTTTTGGAACTGAATTTATTTTAATTTCGCTTATTTCTTTATCAGTAACTTCCACGAAACGACTAGCCGCCATTTTGCAACGTCAAATTTAACCAATCAGCTTGGATAGGATTTGTTAATTTCACTTGTGTAAAAATACTAAAGCTTAAATACTAAGAATATTCATATTAATTAAATAATTTATGTCGATATATATGGAGGGTGATTAGTCTGATTACCGCCAAAATTAATGTTTGAATTTTGCATTCCAAGTTCTAGATTTTGTTGTTCGTTCCGTGCTTTTTGATATCAATGAATTGAATTTTGATATTAAAGAATTGAATTTTGATGTTCGCAATTGCATTTGCACTTCTGTTTGCGCATTTTGTCCTTAATCATTCCATTGTGATGACGTAACATTATGCGTGACCCTCAGCTAGAACACAATTTTCAACTCGATTTAATGATAATTTATTTCCCGCATAAATTTTAATTATCTCTAATTATTCCAACATTGTCACTTCGGCTGTTCAGCATACGGATAAAATGGCTGAGAACCGTTCAAAATCACAAGAAGCAGCAACTTTTAATATTACGCCGTGCAGCAAGCATTTTAACGCACAATTCTGCTGAAAGTGAAGGATGGTGTGCAAGGAACAGCAATACGGGAAATACAGTGCGTCCAATTGAATTAAACCTGCTCTAAGTCAACAAGCCACAACCTCTAGTCACGATGAATTTCGGCGACTATTCTCCCTGTACAATAGGGCTAACAATAGCAGTCTCGTTCATCAACCTCCGGCGAAGCGCGGTCGAGGTAATTCTTGGGAACAAACGCGTTCTTTTAAGCCACAAGATACGTGGACACACGATTTTTCGGTTTGGCACAAGTAGCTCGCTGAATTAACTCGTATTAAAACTTTAAGATGTGAAATGTATGAAGTAAATCTTGATGTGAAATTGTGAATACGCTGAATACGATTATTTACAAATACAAACTCTCCACTTCTAAAAACACCAGCAAAAACACTTCTTTAGATCGAGTATGAAACGCTCAGCAAGCGTCTTGTTTACTGTAAATTTATATGTATGATCATATTAAATGTATGTAACATTAAAATTTTTGCGGGAAATAAATTATCATTAAATCGAGTTGAAAATTGTGTTCTGCAACCTCGTTCCCAGGCTCTTTGCTCTTGGGAAGCAAAGAGCCTGGGAACGAGGTTGCTTTTCCATCCCCCTCTTGGGCTATCAATTTTCTATGGGTCACGTGACCAGCTCCGACCAGGGTCTTTGCTTCCCAAGAGCAAAGAGCCTGGGAACGAGGTTGTGTGTTCTGAGGGTCACGCATGTTACGTCATCACAATGGAATGCTTAAGGACAAAATGTGCAAACAGAAGTGCAAATGCAATTGCGAACATCAAAATTCAATTCTTTAATATCAAAATTCAATTCATTGATATCAAAAAGCACGGAACGAACAACAAAATCTAGAACTTGGAATGCAAAATTCAAATATTAATTTTGGCGGTAATCACCCTCCATAGATATATGAACTGTACTTGTTCTTGATCATATTTATCAAGAATATATCATGACTATAATCTATATTTTCAAGGTGTTATTTTAACCCCCAAATCAGGGGTTACAAAAAAAAGTCTAAAATAATCCGTTTTTTGTGGTTAAAATACCATAATTCTGGGTTAAAATTTAACCTCATTTCGGGGGTTAAAAATCTTGCCCGCCCACCACTGCACCCTCCTACCTTAAATCCGGCTTAGCGGCCTGGGGCTGACAACTTTGGCTTGCGAAATTACTTTTCAAACTGGTTTCGCATCGTTTGGCCGTGTTTTGCAGCATCCAGGAATTGGACCTCCGATCGTCGGGAGTGACTCAGGCTGCGCACACACTGTGACCACAGAGTAGATACATATACAGAGTTATAACTAGTGTAGCCACTTTTTGTGCGCATACTCAGCAAGTTACTAGTTGCATGCATCTCATTGGATGGCGATCATAGATATCTTATATCTACACTAGATAGCGCATCTCTTTTAGTAAAATTGAAGCCAAGAATATTCCAGCGGTTACCCCCAATTGAATAGATGGCGGCCATGCTGGAGTTTCCCACTCGCTAATAAACGCTTAAAAAAACAACAATAACTTTCATTATTTGAATAGTTTGAAAATGTATGTGGAATAGGTTTAACTTAATGTTTAAGTTCCCTGTTTAAGAATTAGAAAACATACGAGTCTTCTCATTTCATGGGAATATCTGCAATCACGGCTTCAATCTTTGAATTGCAGAATAATTAGGTGCACTATCTAGTGTATATAAGATATCTATGATGGAGACTCGCTTTAACTGCTCGCGGAACTTGCCGAGCACGCGCAGTTGATCATTTTTTGTCCGGTCTCCTGAAAAAAAGTGGGTACATGAAAACGTAAGTTTCCGCAGTGTTTACAATGGTCAGTTCCAGCATAGGCAGCCCAAAATGCGTGTTAAACGATATTATGACTGCCTCGTACCCAGGCGCTTTAATAATTATAATACATGAAGTATTCTGGAAGGCGACGCGCGAAGAGGCTGTTGGGAAGGCATTACAATACTTCATGTAAACTCGCCATATGCGCATCACTGTTTTTTTTACAAAGAGACGCCTGGGTACGAGGCAGATATTATGACATAATAATAATAAATCGATGCATTCCACGAGCGCCACGCGCGAGGGTAAAATTTAACACGCATTTTTGGGCTTATATGGTTCCAGCTCTGTATATGTATCTACCTTGCCACAGAGAAGAGATATACAGAGAGGAAACTCGCGGCAAATTATGTCACGCCAATATATTCAGTCTATTAACTATATAAAATTATATTAATTCTCTATTTTATTACATTTTGACAATGCAGAGGAATAAAACTATACATATTATAGAAGTATTCATGTTTATTTTTTAAGCAAGAGTTATATTTTGAGGAATTTATATCATTCGCTGCTTTGTTTTTTATACATGAGCATCTAAAATTCCCAGCCAGTGCATTTCACGATTTTAATAAGGAGTAGATAGGGAAAAAAAACTTTTGCAAAATAAAATGTTATATTAACACTTTTAATAAAAGGAAATCAATAAAAATAATTTATTGAACAACATTTCCATGGGTATCTCATTTTTTTTTAAAAAAAGCGATTTTCACCTTTCGAACGGCGTTTTCCCTATCTTTTGCTATGAAATTTCTGCGAAAATTTTGGGGAATTTTGCGTGGCGCGCGTGATACAAAAATTGAGGTTATTATCGAGTATCAGTCTCCTTTCTGTATATCTCTCCTCTGTGACCTTGCTTACCTTGAATTCTATTGAGAATAAAATTTTATATTGCATTTATGTTGCGGAAACAGACCATGTGAGGATTGTTTTTTGTGAAATTTGTTGACTAAAACTTAACAAAAAAAGACTATACGGACTGCTAAACTTTTGGCGTTTGTCCATATCTGTTCTTGGCCGTTCTTGTTGCTTAAAGCTTTTCTGAAAACGTCGAGATTCGGTAAGTTTCTTTAAATATTTTACAGTTTTTACAAGGCAAAAGGCATGTTTTGAACAAAAACTATAACATTGAATAACATTGTCACCTGGTTGTTGAACGTTTAGCTCGTACGATTTAGGTTTGATGAGACTAAAAAAAGCAATCCGCGTTGAAACACAACCAATCGTATATAAATAATATTGTTTGTGGAAACACCACGTATTAAAATTTATTACTGCAAAGCTTTCGATCCGTAAAGTAAGTGCTAATAATATAGCACTGATGAAGATCCGGGCTTACGGATCGAAAGCTTTGCAGTAATAAATTTACGTGGTGTTTCCACAAACAATAATATTATATGTTTTATCGCCATGCAAACCTACAAAAAACTTACAACCAAACTTGTTAATATTTGTATATTTTGAGCTTTATACTGCCCTCGTTACTGCCTGTTGTCAGAATAAACCGAAAAACTCCTTTCATATTCATTGTCTATTTATCTTACTATTATCGAAGACAACAATATATTAACGAATTTGTGTTCGTATGTTTTGAAAAAGTGCCTGAATTCCTTTGCTTTTTGAAAACAGAAATCCAACAGAAAGTATCATATTTTGTAATATTAAATTTCGCTGTCTAGTACACGGGTATACACAAGCAAATTAAAAGGGAATGAGAAGTTTCGAACAGATATACTTTGTCGATGTTTAATTCTATTTTGGATTAACAATGAGACTAATCATTCCAGCCGTTCCCTCTAAGGGGGCTCTCAAGAGGGAATGGCTGGAACCGAGCCTAACAGCAAAGCCGCTTTGAAACAAAAACATTTGTTGTATATTATAGCATACTTATACGGTCAAAATATGCCAAAAAATTCCTTGCCCATATCCATGCTTATTTTTCTTAATATTATGGATCTCAAAGACCAAAATATTAGCGAATTTTTGATCCTATACGATTTGAAATAGTGCACCTTAATTAAATTCCCTTTGTTTTTTAACACCCCTCTGACACCAAGGGGTATTAAAATAACACTCCTTGGAAATAACAGTGTAGGTATTTAATTTCGCGTGTGTAAATTTCGACTATAACGTTTTCCGTTTAATGGCCTGACACTGTCAGACCCGAATTTTTGTCTCTGTATCAATGGAAAGAACTAGCGAAAATGGACCTCGTTCTAATTTTATATAAATTTTCCGGTCAGATACCGTATTTACTCGTTTGAGCGCCGCCTCCGATTGAGCGCCGCCCCCGAAAGAGCGCCGCATTTGAGATCATATTTTTTTAAAGAGCGCCACCCCCGAATGAGCGCCGCACTAAACAGTGTAATAATTTTCCACCGTCAAATGGGGACATTTAGTGACAAAGACATTCAAAACTTGTTTATTTTATTGTCAAAAGTTCTTGATATAATTCACAAATAAAAGATGTTTTTAAAGAGCGCCGCCCCCGATTGAGCGCCGCCCCCGAATGAGCACCGCATCTGAAGCTCTGAAAATTTAAAGAGCGCCGCGGCGCTCAAACGAGTAAATACGGTAGGTCCAAAGCTCAAACGTTTTGTGTTCCATTCAACAAATTGACCGTTCTGACCGTGTTTAAATGGAAAGCGCCCTAAGGTATTTAATTTCGCGCGTGTGTAAATTTCGCGAGGTCTTTTATTCGCTTGACGCGATTCGACAACGCGACGCGATTTTTTAGTTTTTGAAAGTTAATAAAACAGCCAATGAGAACAAATTTTGAAAGATATGTAGACCAAATAACTCAAAATGTTATACCGCTTCTAAATATTTGGAAAATTTAAACTCGAATCAAAGTTATCGGTCAGTGAAAATCGAAAAATCGCGTCGCGTTGTCGAATCGCGTCCAGTGTGTCTGGACCTTTAGTAGATATGAAGTAACTATAAATAACTAATATTTTACAAGAAAAACATTCTATCAGACGCTATCAGTTTTGACTCTTCGATTCCAAGAAGCTCAACGTTACCAATTTCAGAACCATCCTCAGAGATATGAAAAACCAGTTTCGTATTATTCTCAATTTCATATTTTCAGTTTCATATTATTATAGTTTCAGAATGTTATCAAGTTGACTAATATACGCGTAAATAATTTATTGTTTATTGCAGAAGCCATACTGAGATGTTCTTATGCCGCCGTATTATATTATGTTATACGTAATTTATACACAAGAACCTTTGGAATCAGGATAATCGATGATATATATGCAAATTAGTAACTTAAGTGTAGAATACTCTTGTCGGTGACAAGCACCCGGCGTAGTCAGAACTGTTTATTCAACGTGAACAAGGACCATGACATCTCGAAGAAAGCTTATCCCTATTTTCATCGCTCTTTCATATGGAATGTTAACTGTTGTCTATGTAAGCGATGAAAATAATCTACAAAGTGATATCCAGCCATATAAAGGATTTCCCTCATTGTGGAAAAAAGACATTCAGATACACGATATGGTTGACACACAACAGAATGCGCTTCATCTTCAGAATGAATATTATGGAACAGGTTGTCAAGAGAACCCTTACAGAGAAGGTCTTCAAATTTTACTTCAAACTTGGAACCTCATAGCTGAACGTAGAAATATTAGCAAGTTTTTTATCTGTTTTGGTTCCATGTTAGGTTCTCTACGCAACGGCGATATTATACCTTTAGATACCGACGCAGATATTTGTATGTTACGAAATGATTACCATAAATTATACGCTGAAGAATCAAAGAAACCTCTGGACTTGAATGATGGAAAGATTCACTTGCTTCTTCAAAAACATTCTCCACACCCTCAACCTCATACGCCTCGACAGGACTGTTATGGTAAAATTGTCAGAACGACTACCGATGATTGTTCAATACTTGACCCGCACGCTCGACTATACATTCACACTAAAATATACCTGGATATTTTCATGATTGAAACCCATGGAGATGTTTTATGGGATGAATACAGAAACGTATTTCACAAACGAGAAGTTTTGTTTCCATTAAAGTCATGTTCGTATCTTGGAATAACTTCAAAATGTCCCAGAGATCATTCGACGTATTTAACATCATATTATGGCAAGAACTTTATGGCGCCTCTCACCCTTTGCAAAAACGGACGCTGGGTTCCCAATGTGGAGCCTAATGGTACTGCTAGAATTTTTCTTCTTGCTCTTATCACGTGTCTAGCACTATTATTCCATAAATGCAAGTCACAATTGTATATACGCTTATTACATGCAGTAAAACTGTAGATATACGCTTCAAAAACGCACTAATAATTCAGCATGAGGAAAACGCAAAGAAAAATCATAAGCGTGTCGTATCTTTATATGTGATAGAGATTTCCCTTGATTTACATAAACTTTAACTTTGATTTTCTCGACCTACACAACGTATTTTTTTCAAATTACTTGACAATGAACTTACTAGATCGATCGTTTTTGAAGCAATTTAAAACATTCGCAGTGCGTGTTTTATCAGACCTAAAGATACTCGGCTTTGCTTCGTATCCTTAGGGCTTAGATCTGTTTAACACTGTTTAACACGTATCTTTAACACTACTGCTCATGTTTTAAATAGTACATGTGAAACTCTACACTAATAATTCATGAAGAAAACACAAAAGAAATTATCAGCATGAAGGAGTGTGTATATATCTGATACAAAATCATGCTGATTTACATACACTTTAAGTTCAATTTTCTCACCAAATATCATTTATTTATTTTAAATTGTTGAAGAATATGAGTGTTCGCATCCGTGTTGTATCAGACATACAAATTCGCGTCCGTGTTGTATCAGACATACAAATTCACGTCCGTGTTGTATTAGACATACAACCTCTCGCCCAACCGTTCCTGCAGTTGTCTTCATTAAAGATGTTTTGCATGTACATTTACATAAAAAAGATAAACACCTCATCCTTAATTATTTTTTAAAAATTTTCTTATGATTTTTGTAATTTCTCAGAAAGCATGCATGGTATTGCTATGAAAATTTCATTGGCATTACGTTATTGTTGCTATTTATATCAATGTCATTCAGACATCAGAGTGTACCTAATGTCAAAAGACACGAATGTCATTCATTTAATAACAAGTCTCGATATTTTACAAGAAAGATCTTGTTCACCTGTTTCTCCAGTTAAAACGATCTCTTTTTCGCCTTCATTTATTGTTCTATTGATTCCGCTTTTCTCTGCTTCAACAGCAAAAACTGTATTATTATCGTCTTCATCGCCACCTATAATTTCCACTAAGTCTTTCCCGCCAAATTGTTGTTTGGGAAACAATGAAGGCAGTACTTCCACTTCATGAAATTTTTCATTTTCTGAATCAGTTTCGTTTTTCCTTACACTTAAATTGGCTTGCTTCGTATTTAAAACACGTAATGTCTGATACACCGTACCTTTTTCACCATGTTCCAACTCACCTTCACATAAACTTGCCTTTTCAGAACATTTTATAGCATTTTGCTGAATCATTTCTTCTTCAACTTCAGTGGAATCACCATCTGTGCTATCGTTACTTTCCGTTTCTTCATCGTCGTCTTCCGTTGAATATTCGGACGAACTCGATTCGGAATCTGCGGTATGGTCTTTCTCTTCATTATATACAAGAATAGCGGCTGTTTCCAGTTCCTTTAGGTCCCAACCAATTGATTCTTTTCTTATTTCGGTCTTGGAAATAAAAATTTAATCGTCAATAGAATCATACAAGTATACTATTGCAAATGCTGTAATTTTAACTCTTATATTTGGGAAATTTCTCTAGTTGAAGCAAGGAAAGAGCTTGATAACTTTGTGCTTTTCGAAGACGATATGTCCATATTTCTCTTTCGACACACTTTAAATAATTAATTGATTAAAATCATATTATATACAAATAATTTTTTTTTTACAAATTACGAATATTTTACCGCCAACTTTGTAATTTTTTAAAAAAATTTTTATTTGTATGTATGATTAAATTTTTATATGTATGATTTTAATCAATTAATTATTTAAAGTGTGTCGAAAGAGAAATATAGACGATATGTATTCGGAAAGCACAAAATTTTAACTTTACTTGCTCTCTATTCCTCGATGATAGCGGGTAGCAAAACAATAATTTTCCTGGCGCATTTTAAAAAGATGGTCTGTTTGACCAGGTCAAAAATAACCCAGGTCTGTTTTCGCAGCCTAACTTGAAGTTTTGCGTCAACCAGCCATACGAATTGGTTATATGCACTATTTGAAGTGACCAATACCATGCACTGCATACATACAATATTAAATGAACAAAATTATGTACGATTTTTCTCACCTCCAACAATTTCTTTGCCAAAGACTCGATTTTTCTTTCCCTACGTTAGAAATACGGGCACGATCAATCTGTAAGCAGGGAAATTTGTCGAACTCCGAACAAGCAAGCCTGAAAATGTTTGGAAAATCTTTTCTTGCCCTTCAAAATATTTCGTTCGCCGAGGTTTATGCCTTGCCCACCTCAGTTTGGGCGATAAACAAGACCGAGTAAATACGATGTTGTATACATTGGACTCCATAAAGACAAAACCTCTTGAAAATTTAATAATGCATTCTTTCAAAACAGCAACTGACTTCAAAAAATATAAAACTTGCAAAGAAAAACAAACAAAAAAACAAACAAACAAACAAACAAACAAACAAACAAACAAACAAACAAACAAACAAACAAACAAACAAACAAACGAACAAACGAACAAACGAACAAACGAACAAACGAACAAACGAACAAACGAACAAACGAACAAACGAACAAACGAACAAACAAACAAACAAACAAACAAAAGCTACAGACACTTGATAAACAAAAGAACACGTTTCCGCTTGTACTTACTTTACTTTTTGAAGCCAAATGCAATAATCAGTGATGTAAAGTTCATTGAGAAGATACCGCGGTTCACTTTCATTAAATAGCATCAAAATCTCGAGTAAACATTTCAAGATCTTTCTACGACCTATACATTTAAATTTAAATGCAAAATGGATCAATAAAGTGTTATTTTGACTTTTGAGCAATGCATAGTCTCAAATTCAGTAAAATCAGAGCCTCAAATAACGGTCGAACATCGGATATTTTCTTACAGTTAGTTTTCCCAACCAAATGCAAAATTGGTCGGAAATTTTGTCCCGACAAAAATACTTTAGTTATCAGTTTCCTCAAAAGATTGGGTTAACCAAAAACTACAGTATGAGTCGATTCTAAATATACCTGTCATTATTTTTTCTTCCAAAATTAATTTCAACTTACACAATACTTCAAGACTAACAGTTTTACGAAGTATAAATATAATACACTGTATATTGCTTTTGAGAAATTAAGTAAAAAAATACCGGAGTTTCTGCTAGATTTTGCCGAATGAAGACTGACTGGGTTTTGGTGCATGCTTTATGCAGAGAATTTCAAATGGCTATAATTTCACTTGCTTGGATTGTTTCAATCATAAATTTTTAAACACTTTTGTCTTGAATAAGACAAAGACTCTGTTGAAAATTTGCTTGTTAGCCTAGTAATGCATAAAATATAAAATATTGAAAAACTTGTGGCGGTTAGTTTTCGAATCGATCAACAGTAGTTGCCGATAAAGTATTATAATTTATTGACGTGATTTACCCATAGGAATAATAGATATCTATTATTTCTATAGATTTACCCAATATAGGCACCGGGAGTCCACACGAAATCGAAGAAATTTCAGACAAAATTTGAAAATTTCAAATCAAAATGAAATTTGTACATTTTATACGGATACTTTTTTAAAGTTATTTCCGGGTAGGTAAAAAACAACTTATGAGTTATGTACTATTTATAGAAGAACTTTACCAAGTTTAAAGATATCTTTAACATCTTGCAAAACTTTACAACTTAATTCCCAGTATCTGTACAGTGGGTAGGATAAAGAGCGGCGGACACAGGCATCTAGCACTTCTTCCAAACTTGTAAATCTCTAGAAAAGTAATAGGTAAGACGGGTAAACAGGTCTATATCAAGGGATTACCTTAGAAAGTACAACAGATGATCGGCCGCATGTGTGCCATTGACATTCTAAAACCCGGAACAGAACGAAACAAAATAACTGAACTAGACCTCGGCCCGATATTTCTCTATACAGACCTCGCGTTCGGTTAATAAGAAGTTATTAACACGCTCAGTTTGACAGATAATAAATTATTATGTTACCTCAAACCATGATAATGTTGAACTCAATTTAGAAATGGTCCATGCTGATTCGACCTGTAAAATGTATTTAAAAGTGTTGACCCTTTCACAATTTCGTATTATAATCTCATACTCGTGATCGAAAGAAAAAAGCGCCTTGAGGGGGGGGGAGGGGGGGTAGGTAGGTTGAAAAAGTTCTCTAATTTCTAAAGTTAGATCTAACCTCTACACGGCTATACAGTAACTTCACATCTTCTCACTTCACATCTATCTTTTTATTTAACTAACCCTAACCCCAAGTTGATCGGGCAGAAATTCGGCATGTAATCGACTGGAAATTTCAGCCTAGGTTGAAAGACAATCCTTCCGAAGTGGATTTATTTTGTCTGCACTATTTTAAGACTCGCACAAGTCAAATAACAGACATGAATAACATTTTAAATTCTTTATTCAATATTTTAAATATAGCTCCATTTTGAGACTTGATCGTTTCAGCCCGGGCTAAGAATTCATCCCCGCGTTTGCACGAGTGAAATCTTAACTTGGCCCGGGTTGAAATTTACCATGTAATCGTGAAACAGACAATTTGAGGTTAACTGGGTAGAAATTCAGCACGGGCTAGCATTATTCTTACCGTATTCTCACCAAACGTTGTACGCTTGTTATAAGAAAATGCAAACATAATATCGACCAGACTGTAGCAAACTGAAATTTCTTCATGATCGAAAATATCTAGTAACAGTGTTAAGTTGAAACAATACACAATATTTAGTCAGGGCGTCCAGTCACAAAAGTGATTTTCAGTGGCGACGTCAAGTGATATCAGTATAAGCTTCAAATAACTATATACCATGCATGTACAGCCATACCATATACAGTATATCATAAACATAAACAATATCTGAGCATTTGACAAAATATAGGATACATTCCCGATTAGGCAGCTGTCGAAGTTTCTCCTTTTCAATGTCAGTGAAAGAAACTGAAAATCAAATGTGCGTTTTATTAAAAGTGTAAATATAAATATGACGCCAAAATGGCCAAATTTACGGTATTCTTAACTCTTATAATAACAATGAAAACTTAATACCGGGTGTCCAAAAAAAACTGGACAATGCTTGATTTCATAGAACGTCAAAGCTATAAAAGCTATCGCAATGAAATAAAGACCATTGCATTTATTATTTAGTCTTTTGCGCTATTGATGTTTGAACGTTGAACTAATGTTTTTGAAAATGCCAAAAATTAGCATATAGAACACTTATAATCACCGATGTAATTATACTTGTTAAATAATTTGGTAGTATATCTCGCTCAATAATCAATATTGCATCTAAATTCAAGTGTTATATATCAAAATCTAAATTATCTTTATTTCATTACGATAGCTTTTATAGCTTTTTTGTTACATGAAATCAAACAGTGTCCAGTTTTTTTGGGGGGACACTGGTATATACCATTTACAGATATATATACAAAAAATAATAATAAACACTTTATAATTACTAGGTCTAGGGCCTAAGTAATATACTAAAATCATGAATACAAATATACAATGAACCTTCTTTGTCGATATCATAACTCAAAATCTAAATGATCTTTATTTCATTGCGATAGCTTTTATAGCTTTTATGTTACATGAAATCAAACAGTGTCCAGTTTTTTGGGGGACACTGGTATATACCATTTACAGATATATATACAAAAAATAATAATAAACACTTTATAATTACTAGGTCTAGGGCCTAAGTAATATACTAAAATCATGAATACAAATATACAATGAACCTTCTTTGTCGATATCATAACTCAAAATCTAAATGATCTTTATTTCATTGCGATAGCTTTTATAGCTTTTATGTTACATGAAATCAAACAGTGTCCAGTTTTTTGGGGGACACTGGTATATACCATTTACAGATATATATACAAAAAATAATAATAAACACTTTATAATTACTAGGTCTAGGGCCTAAGTAATATACTAAAATCATGAATACAAATATACAATGAACCTTCTTTGTCGATATCATAACTCAAAATCTAAATGATCTTTATTTCATTGCGATAGCTTTTATAGCTTTTATGTTACATGAAATCAAACAGTGTCCAGTTTTTTGGGGGACACTGGTATATACCATTTACAGATATATATACAAAAAATAATAATAAACACTTTATAATTACTAGGTCTAGGGCCTAAGTAA